ATATATATATATATATATATTTTATAAGTAGCTATATTTGTTTCCCACACTGCCATGACAAAGTACTGCAGATTGGGTGACTTAAACAATAAATTTATTCTCCCATAATTTTGGAGAGTAGAAATTTGAGATCACGGTGTTGACAGTATTGGCTTCTTCTTAGATCTTTCTCTGTGGCTTGTAGATGTCCTTTTTCTCCCTGTGTCCTCACATGGTTTTCCCTCTGTTTCTGTGACCTAATCTCTTTTTATAAGGACACCGATCCTGTTGGATTTGGGCCCCCTTAATGACCTCATTTTTAACTTAATTACCTCTTTAAAGGCCCTAACTCCAAATACATTCACCTTCTGAGGTGCTGGGGGCTAGGACTTCGGCATTTTAATTTTGAGGGGAGGGACACAATTGGCTCATAACAGTGGTGAAGTTAAATAATTTAATTAAGATCTCATAGGTGGTATGATGGTTAAGTTGGATTCAGACTCAGATGTGATTCAGTCCAAATGTTATTTTCAGAATGCTACACTGCTACCCTTAGACCACTAGAGATGTACACCCAAACTAGTTAGGTCTTTGTTTTTCCAAAGACCAACACATTTAGAGAAAGAAAAAATTACTGACTTAAGAATAAAACCACGAAAATATGGAAACTGAAAACACTGAACTCTTATCACACTGCTTTTTAAATTGAATATAGTTGGCATTTGAATTTAGGAAGATAAACAACAGTACATGTCAAGTAGGAAATAAACAGAGGAAAAATGTGGCAGAGAAAGAACAAAAACCCTACGGTGTTATTGAAAGAGGGTGCTAGAAGAATAATACTGGATCTTTTTTTGGTAAACATAGGAGGAAGTCCTAACTATTGTAAAATATATAGTCTGCAATTATATGAATTCAATTAATGTGAAATGGTAGTTTTGTTAAAACTGAATATATGTAAATGTCACAAAGTTGAAGATAAATATGGGTTCAAAATACAGAACTGTAGAATAAGGTTTTATATACGGTCACTCATCTAACAAAATTATAGAGCTCAGTTCTACCAAAAGAAAAAACTCTTAAGACCTATGAAAGTTTGAATTTAATATTGAAATGTAGGTAGTCTGTGAAATAAGTTCTGTTTCTTGTAGTCATTCAGATGTCAGTAACAAAACTCACAAAATGTGAATTCACCACCAAAATTGTTTGGCCATGAGAAGTTATATTTAAAATGAGTAGTCATTACCCTGCTGTGTTAAAATCTTGTTTTGTGAAGGTATAACTTCAAAGAATGACAGTTTAAAAATTAAATTGAATGGTTGCTTATATTAAAATTTTATTATAACTATTTTCTAAGAATCTGAGAGGTTTGAGGATTTTTATGGTAGTTTTATTATGAAATAAAGTCAGTAACTTAGTTCAAGTACCATAGAGATGATACCAGTTTGTGTGTGTGCTTTTTGTTTTTCTTCCTTCTGGGTAGAATGTGCTGTTTAAAAATCTTTCTTTTCTTTTTTTGGGGGAGGGAAAGGTTGTGTCTTACAGCTGTATTTAGAGCTATAAAACATAATGTACATCCTGTCTATCTGAGATAACATCTTTTTTTTAATTGCATTTAAGTTATATCCTATATATTCTCTTTTTTAAATAGGTAAAAATAAGTGACTAAAGAAGCATATCTGGGAGTCATCTAACATGTCGAGGAGAAGATTTGATTGTCGCAGTATTTCAGGGTTGTTAACTACAACTCCTCAAACTCCAATGAGAATGGAAAACTTTAATAATTTTTATACACTTACATCTAAAGAGCTGGGAAGGTAAGGAAATTGTGTGATATGTATGCTGTTTAAATTCACATATTGAGGGGCACCTGGGTGGCTCAGTTGGTTAAGCATCCGACTTCGGCTCAGGTCATGATCTCGTGGTCCGTGAGTTCGAGCCCCGCGTCAGGCTCTGTGCTGACAGCTCAGAGCCTGGACCCTGTTTCAGATTCTATGTCTCCCTCTCTCTGACCCTCCCTCATTCATGCTCTGTCTCTCTCTGTCTCAAAAATAAATAAACGTTAAAAAAAAAAATTAAAAAAAAATAAATTCACATATTGAATTTTCTGGGTCTATAGTTTTATAAAATTCACTTGATCATTTTAAAAAATGATTGGAATTCTAGAAAGTCATCATCTCTTCTATTATTATACAGGATCTAGTTTTAACTGACTTGGAAATCAAATCTGTAGAGAGTTAGTGAGCTTGTATGATATATCCCACCTAGCTTAAGAGCCCCTGATAGGAGGTCAGGGTTCTTAATTTGAGGCTGTGCATGGCAACAGATAGCTTAGCATAGTGGACTGTCAAGTCCAAATCCGGGCTCCGCCATTTCCAAACTGTGTGACCTCAATTAAATTTCTGTACCTCTTAGTGCTATAGGTTCCTCATCTGAGAAGTGGGGATGAAGATAATTGTATCTATCTTCTATGGTTGTTATGAGGATTAAATTAGTTAATATTTGTGAAGTAGTAGAATCTTACTAATTTTTGTTAAAATTTTTTAAAATTCCTAGGATATTGTGCTGGGCTACAAAACAAATAAGGAGGGTCTCCTCCTCTTTTTTCCTAAATTAAACAAAAAGAATTAACACATATTTGATGGTATAATTCTGTATGACAAACAATGCATGTTCTACAAGTAAAACCCTGTACTTAACACTAACACTTATCTGTTTTGGCCTGATGAGAGTGTAAATTCCTTAAGGCCAAGGGGCAACCTGGGATTCTGCAATTTAGTACTACCATTTTAATATATATGGAAGTTGTAAAAATAGACTAAGATATTTATGTTATATGTTCAGCATCTTTGAACTTTAAAGACATTTAGCAGAGTTGAAAGATGGTGATCAGTTTCTATCTTCGGTTTGATTTTAGTTCTGGAGGTAAATGTTTTGCTTATCTTAAATTAAAATGGTTTGCTAAGCCTGTGTTTGTATTGATAGATCTATAGTAAGATAGTATGATTGATTTTTATCTTTGAAAATCTCAGTGTGAAAACAAAAGTTGACTGGACCATGAAAAGTAATTCTGTTCTTGGTGATCTTTTACAGGAAGGGTAACAAGTCCTAGCCTTATCAGTTGTTGGATGCAGTCTTTCTTTTGCAAAATAAGGATGATAATATCTACTTCATTAGACTAAGGACTAAATATGAAAGCATTTTTCATAATTCCTGGCATATTTATTTATTTAATTTTATGTACAAAGTATCTGGGTGTTTTAATGGTGTATTGAAAGATACAGTTTTAAAAACCTTTCAGGATGTTTCCTGGAAGGGGCACCTGGGTGGCTCAATCAGTTGAGTGTCTGACTTCAGCTCAGGTCAGGATCTTGTGGTTTGTGAGTTCGAGCCCATGTCAGGCTCTGTGCTGACAGCTCAGAACCTGGAGCCTGCTTCGGATTCTGTGTCTCCCTCTCTCTCTGCCCCTTCCCCGCTCATGTTCTGTCTCTCTCTCTCTCTCTCATAAACATTAAAAAATTTTTCTTAAAAAAAGAATGTTTCTAGGAAATTGTTTAGTTCTAAATCTGTAATTATTTCTGTTTGCATTATAACAGGAAGGAGTAAGTTTTACTTTTAGTTGCCTGTATCTCACATCAAATAGTGATAGAATCTTTGCACTGGAAGGACTTTGGTGGTCAGTGGTGGTCTAATACAATTTACGCAGCAATCTTTCCTATACTTTTCCCGACAAGCTGTTTATCCAGCCTTAATTTGAATGCTGCCATGATGGGGAACTCATTACCTCAGAATGTATCTGTTCCATTTTGTGGGTGCCTCTTAGGCACAGAAGGTTCTGTTTTCTACTCTACTAACATCTACCCAATAGATGTGGTTCATCTTTTGTAGCTGCATGTAATGTCCTTGTAAAAATTCTTCAGAAATGTGAATATGGCCAAACACTGCCAGTTTCCTTAAATGCTCATATTATGACCTAATTTCCAGACAGCCTTCCTTGATCCAGTTATCTTCTTCTGGACTCCTTGTATTTTTCATTGTCAGTCTTAAAATGAGGAAGCCTAGAGTGTACACAGTTTGGTCAATATCTTAACATCTAGAATGCTGTAAAGGTTTATTGAGGTAGCTTAAGATTCCATTGGGAGTCTTCTTTCTTTTTTTTTCAACAACCATGTCAAATATATGTCATATAGCATCATGTAGTATATTAGTAAAAAACACATTAAATTGGAAGTCAGTTGACCTGTCTTTACTGTGGATCTAAAGTTGTGTGATCTACTTAGTTGTGTGATTTCCTTTTCGTTGAGAGGGTGGACTATGTGTCTCCAAGTTTCCTTCTATTGCAAAGATGTTTGGCAACTGCTTTGAGCAGGTAACTGAATATAAAAAGCTTTGAACAGTAAACACAATAAAGGGGATCTTTTCCATTTTTCTAAGTTATATTTTGATCAGTAACTGTACATATATTTATTAAGTTAACTTTGCAAAATAAGGGATATTATGGGGGCTAGAAAGTCTATAAAATACTTTTTCCTTTGAGAGATTTGTAGAACCTAAACTTTGGGGAGGACAGTATTAATAATTACATTGTTTTATAAATGAGGTACTATCATAAATAACAAGCATGAACTTGAATCAGGTGTATTTTTTAACATTCTAGAACAAAAACTCATAATAGACTCTGATTAAAACAAACTCAGGGGGCGCCTGGGTGGCGCAGTCGGTTAAGCGTCCGACTTCAGCCAGGTCACGATCTCGCGGTCCGTGAGTTCGAGCCCCGCGTCAGGCTCTGGGCTGATGGCTCGGAGCCTGGAGCCTGTTTCCGATTCTGTGTCTCCCTCTCTCTCTGCCCCTCCCCCGTTCATGTTCTGTCTCTCTCTGTCCCAAAAATAAATAAAAAAAGTTGAAAAAAAAATAAAAAAAAAATAAAATAAAATAAAACAAACTCAGATTGCTAATATCCCATCTTCTAATATCTTTATGAAAGAGACCTAACATTTTTCTTTGAATTGATATGGGCTAATGAGTCAGATGGTAAATTTTGATATTTCTTTTTTTTATTAAAAAAATATGTTTATTTTATTTTTGGGAGAGAGAGCAGGGAGGGGCAAAGAAAGAGAGGAAGACACAGAAACTGAAGCAGGCTCCAAACTCTGTGCTATCAGCACAGAGCCTGACGTGGAGCTCGAACCCAGGAACTATGAGATCATGACCTGAGCCGAAGTGGGAAGTTTAACCAACTGAGCCATCCAGGTGCCCCTTGGTATTTCTAATTAGTAAAACTTGATCAGTTGGAAATCATGATCTTTCATCTGTCAATAACTTGCTTTAAGTTCTTCCACTATTGCTACTAACTTTAATATCCTATACTAATGCACAATGAAAATTAAGATCAAAATACTGTTTTTCTTGAGGCTTTACATTTTGAACTATGTAAACATAATTCTAGCATGTGGTGTGAACTACAAAAGTCTTTTAAATCAAGTTGATCTTTCTAAATCAACTTTTTAAAATTTAATTTTAAGATGTTAGTGCTGAAGAATTTATTTTCCTTTAGCAGACTAAAAGAAACTATGTAAAAGTTAACAGTTCGTTTTAGACTATTCTCAAAAAACTTTGCATTGTTCCTGTTTTTTAACATGTTGGGTATGTTTTTTTCCACCCCTCCCCCAACTGAGGCAAGGTTTCTTAGGACTTCTTGTGGTTAGAAGGGTGAGGCAGATGCAGAAATAAACGTCAGCTTCCTTTGTGGCTCACCCTCCCCCCCCCCCTTTCACATTTTATCGTCTATTCTAGAATGCAAAAGGGTAACTACTAGCACTTTTCACTGCTGGGAAATCTAGTCAGCTTTGCCTTTTTAGGTTATGAATTAAGTATTGTTGTTAAGGGTATTTAATTTTCTTAAATATTTCTGTTAAGTTTGATACAGGAAAATTATGATAAAAGATTATTTTTGTTACTTCTAAACTGCAACTAACATTTTAGAATAGGAAATAAATACTCTTTCCTTCCTAAGTCATCTGATAATTATGGTAAGGATATTTACCTTATTTAACAGCATATACATTTATATATATGTAAAATGTTATTGGAATTTCAAATAACTTTTAAAAATATAAATGCTTTAAGTACAGGATATAAACTAAAATAGCACAGTGTATGGTATTCTAGTAGGTGCATAGCTCTTGCATTCATTCAACAGATACTTCAGTTGCTGTTATGCATTAGCAAAGTGTACAGTTTATAACAACTGTAGTAATTAGAACAGACAGGGTCTCTGCCTACATGGGACTTTTACCCAGTGGTAAGCACTGACAGGTAAATAAATAAGTACCAGCATCATTTGGTCACTCTTGTACTGGATTGTTTAAAAAAGCCTCATAAGAATACATGAAACAATGAGGTTAAAAAGTGTTACCAGTTAATTTTGCTCTTTGTTCCTGAGAAAATTCTGGCTTATAGATGTAATTACAAAATTGCAGCAGAACTTAATTGTCACAGTTGGTAGTATAAACTATTTTTTTTTTTTTCAGATGGACAATTTTCTTGGCTAACTAGTTTCTGTTTACTTAGTTTTACAAGGTGAATTTCTGTCTAAAACTCAAAATTTCCTTTCTGTTTTAGACACACTTTCACTTCTAAATGTGAGTGAGAATTGGCAGAAGTGAGTTGCACTTCTTAAAAAATGATCTTAAAGGGAGGAATTGTTTTGTAGTGATTAGAAGAGAAAGCTAAAAATTCACATTCCATAGTTTAATTCTCAGCACTCCAACTCCATATATGATGTTTCATGAGTCATTTAATCTTAGTTTGACTTGATTTATCCAGTATAAAATCTATAAAGGGTAGTTTGAAGACAAAGACTGATGACCTTTTTGTATGCTCATTGAAATGCATTGAATTGTATTGCTTTTGCACATGGTGAGAAAGTGCCTTAGTTTAAATTATATATGCCAAATCTTAAATGAAACGTTCTTTCCAAGAATCAGGCTTGTGCATGCAAATTTATTGAGTTGTATGTTTTGATGAATGTAGAAGAGTCAAATTATAGCCTGGTCACTTCTTTTGGCATTGTAGCATACTTTTTCAGCTTGGTTTCCTGTCCTTTTCACTGGCACCAGTTTTGAAGAAATGTGGGAAATAAAGAGTAGGAATCCTTGTCATCCTGGCCCTTGAGAATAGCAAGTAAAATAACAATCAAGCAATTTATTTTGTTCCCCCCTCCCCAACCCCAAATACCAGGTTTTCCTTGCTAAGCACCTGACATGTGTTAGAAGTCAAATTGGAGAAAGAAGAGTTAGGGAACAAAAGTTCTTCTCTGAAGACCCTTTATTTATACTTCATATGTTAATTTGAGCCTTAGGATATAGGTTCTTAATCTTGGATCCTGTGGGCTCAGGTTTAGAAGGTCGATAGATGGGCTTTGAAGTATGAAAACCCTCTGGAATTATATGTAAAACTTTCTGTTTAAGGGCATGCGTACATTTTTCTGGGTAGGCAGTCAGTTGCCTTTATTAGTTTCTTAAAATAGTCTTACTCAAAATAGCTCTCGATCTTTGGGAAATTAGATTTTGGGCAACTATACACTTAGTATAGTGTAAATTTAAATTTTGGTTGAGATGCTGAGCACTTCTGTTGGAGAGAGCTAAACACCTATTTATTCCTAAAATGATAAACATGAACTTAATGGGTGTATTTGTACTTAGCTATTGATAACTATTAATTTTCTTAGTTGATCATGAAGTGTCTCTGGATACTCTCTGTAGGATACATATACCTCTGTTATCTGTTACAGGCTTCATAGACTACTGGCCAATATTAAGAGATTTACTGGAAAAACAACTAATAAATTAGTGATAGAAAGTTTCAAAGATTGGTAAACATGGTGCTGAAAGGCAAAGCGATTACACTGATACAATGAAATGTCAAATAACCACTTTTGCTTTAATTTTAATTTTTTATTTTGGAAGGAAGCTGTTTTGATTAGGGAGTTAGTGTGGTACCCTTTTAAAGGTACAGTCTTTGGAAATAGACTAAGATACATATACTCCCTGGGCTCTGCAAAACAATTTCATTGCTATATAGGATTCTTATGATATTTAAACACAAATATTTATAACAAGAGTATGGCATGGAGTTGGAATGCAAATGAGATCTCCCCTACAATGATAATGTATTATATTAACAGTGATGAACAAATACACTTATGTCTTATCCTGTTTTTACATTTGCCATTTTAATTTTTCTGTGATAATATAAATTTCATAAAAGTATATGTAGTATTTGATTCAGTTAAGAGAACATAGTTCTCAACTAATGGCATAGTTGTTTGAAAGGATTAATTCTAAATTGGAGTTGTAACTGTGTGTTATGTTAATATTGTTCTTTTTGGAAAAGTTAAAATTGACTGTCCTCATTTTCCCCCCAGAGGAAAGTTTGCTGTGGTTAGACAGTGTATATCAAAATCTACTGGCCAAGAATATGCTGCGAAGTTTCTGAAAAAGAGAAGAAGAGGACAGGATTGTCGAGCAGAGATTCTACACGAGATTGCCGTACTTGAATTGGCAAAATCTTGCCCTCATGTGATTAATCTTCATGAAGTCTATGAAAATACCAGTGAAATCATTTTGATATTGGAGTAGTAAGTATATACTTTAATAAATTTAAATAAATTTGTAGTACTTATTTTAATTGGTGGGATAAAGGTGGCTTGAAATGTTAAGAACAAGAATGATAAAAGTATGACAAGAACTTATAAAGATTTGGGGGCACCTGGGTGGCTCAGTCTGTTGGGTGTCCAACTTTTAATTTCAGCCCAGGTCATGATCTCACAGTTCATGAGATCAAACCCTGCATTGGGCTCTGCACTGACAGAATGCAGCCTGCTTGGGATTCTCTCTTACTGAGTCTCTCTGCCCCTCCCCCACTTGCAAACACACGTGCTTTCTCTCTCTCTCAAAATAAACATTTAGGAAAAAAACTTGTAAAGATTTCTGTTGATAAAATATTAGAGAGACATGGTGTATATTTGAATATTTTCACATATACACAAAAACTAATTAAACAGTACACACAAAAAACCCCAAATGACATCACAATGCTTGAGGAATGTGGTAAAACAAGTGTACTTTCATTGCTAATAGCATAGAAAGTCGAAGAGTTTTTGTGCAGAACTACCTGATGGATAAATAGAATTGAAATCATTTATATAATTTATCCATCTATTTGAAAAATACATCCAAGGGAATGACTCATGGAGAATAGAAGGGTGAATTTGCATGAAGGTGAAGGTGTGCTTGTCACATTGTTGAAGAAACACATTTACTTAGTATTGTGTAACTTGTGAAAAACTGTTAGGAATTGTAGCAATAAGAAATAAAATATATCTCTTCCCACAACTCAGTGAAAAGCTGAAAACACCCAAATAGTCAACAATTCATCACATTAAGCATAGGGTAGATCATGGTTAAGCCAACTGGCCGGTTAATTAGTATATTCACACATGTGACTCTAAAATAGTACCTTTATGCGTGACAGTCTGACACATTTATTATATGTATATAAAATGTGTTTGAACATCTACAACAATTGGAAAAGGTTAGCTAAATTTATGTTTCATATGCTTTTAGGGTCTGATAATTTTTTATAGAAGAAATCTATTTTATAATAAACTAAAGAGATTAAGTATTTACTTCAGAAAAAAATGCATTATAAATACAGTAATTCTTTTTAGTGGTTAACCTGCATCATTGCCTTTTTGAATGTAAAAGTATATTATGTAGCCTAGGGGCATCTGGGTGGCTCAGTCTATTAAGCTTCTAACTCTTGATTTTGGTTCAGGTCATGCATGATCCCAGGGTCATGGGCTCAATCCCCGTATTGGGCTCTCTGCTGAGTATGAAGCCTGTGTAAGATTTTCTCTCTCTCTCTTCTGTCTCTCTCTCTCTCTCTCTTCCTCTGCCCCTGTCTCCCACTCATGCTCTTTCTCTGCCTTTCTCTCTCTCTCTAAAATAAAATAATAAAAAACAAAAAGTAATATAGCCTAATTTTAGTATTCAGGTATTTTAAGGATGAAGAAATTTGTTTATATATTTGTAAAAAGTATGTTTTTATACCAGGAAAGTTGATTACCTAGAATCAACTTATAAATATGAAAATGCTTATTTTGCAAAATGTTAAACTGTCAAGTAGTTCATTTAAGAATGAATACTATGGGGGCACCTGGGTGGCTGTGTTGGTTGAGCGACTGACTTTGGCTCAGGTCATGATCTCATGGTTCATGGGTTCGAGCCCCACGTCAGGCTCTGTGCTGACAGCTCAGAGCCTGGAGCCTGCTTCAGATTCTGTGTCT